GCTGAGCAGGGAAGTGCTTGGAGGGAGGTGTGCAAAACCCTGGGATTTGTATCCAGAGTCTTAAAAAAAAAGTGCATTTGGTACCTAAAAACACCAACCGCAGCGTGTTTGTGAGCCTGCTCGCACTGAGAAGCGTTATTTTATTTATGTGCAAGCAGTTACAGGTGCCCATGGCCACGTTCTCCTAACTCAGAATTACCCGCGTGGCTGAAGGAACAAACAGCCTCGTGGCCTGTAGCAGCGAGAACGGCAAAACCTGCCCGCCGATCCCGGGTGTGTGCTTTGGGTAAACCGTAAGAGACTCTGAATGGTTTAAACAAAATCCTCTGGTGCTTTTATTTATTTTTATTTTTATTTTTTTTCAGCAAAATCGTTGAATGGATTTATATTATCCCAGTCTAGTAATCTGAGCCTCAAGCATTGGGAATGTTCACCAAGGGAACTGAAAAAAGTGGGAAAGAGGGGGGAGAAGTAGCACTGAAGTCACTAATGTAGAAATTAGATGTGTTTTTACCTTTTAAAAATCCCAAGCAAATAAAGCATGACTTTATTTGAGGCAAAGGTAGTTAGAAATGATTTTTCCATATGTATAAATACATATGGATATCTGCTTGGGGTGTTGAAGGGAAAAGAGAAGTGGACTTTGTGCTGTGCCTTGCACAATTTTTTTTGACTTTTCCATGCTTTACAGAACAAAGCATGGATTATTTTGGAGCCATGTCTTAAAAAAGCAGAGGAAGCTGTTGTAAATAAATGTAAGACTTGAGTTTTTTTAAAAAGCAGCATTGTCCCATATTTTTACCCGAGTTAGACTGTATCATTGTTGGTCGTTTTAAAGACCATTTTAGGAACACTCACACTACAGAGCAGCTGGGTAGTGTTTCTCTTACATTTGGTAAAGACTAAATAAATTTGATACTGCGTGTTTTTAGCCTCTACTGAGAGGAAAATTTCCTAAAATTATGGAGCCTCCTATTTAGTTACAATACAGTGATTATAAAAGCATGATAATTCTGCAGGAAAGTAATACTGAATAAAATCTATTAGAGTCCGTTAGAAAAAAAAAAAAAACAGATTTGCTCACTACTATTGTCAAGGATAAATCTGTTAAAAGTTCTCAAAACCTGAGTGGGGATTTATGTGGTGTATCTGAAGCGTTGTGTAAACATGCTGCATACTTGTTTTTAGTGCATATCCTCAAGCAGTTTTTTTATTTTTTTTCTTTAAAGGAGTAATTAAAGCTAACACTAGATGTTGACTGAATTGGGCTGCTCTTACAACAGAAATAACTGTCTCCTGAAGGCCGCCTACCAACAACAGCAACAAAAAAGAGAAGCAGCAGCAGGGAGAGCTCCCTGACCCACGTTTGAGGGGGTGCTGTGGGCCCATGGGTGGTGGCCGAGCTCTCCTGGCTGCCTCTGTGATTTCCATCCAGAATTCCTGCTTCACCTACCCTGCTTGTGAGAGCTGCTGCTCGAGGCTGAGCCTGGATTCCAGGAGGTCCGTTGTGTTCAGGGCACTGCAAACTGCTCCATGTGGGTGGCCTTGGAGTTCTCTGGGAGCAGAACAGGGGGCAAAAACAGACATTTCTGTATATTCTTCAGTAGTAAAAATAATTGGTAAATAAGCTAGATATATGTCACTAGCACTATTTTTTTTTCCTTTGTATTCCTGGAGCAGCTTGGAGATGATTATGGATCCAGAACTCTATCATGTTAAGTGTCATACAACATCAAAGTCAGTTTAGGAGAACAAGTGATGTTGGTTAATGGCTTTTAATTGAAATCTCTTGCAGTCCAGTTCTTCAGTGCTTCAGTTACACAATTAGTGTAACTGGGCTGAAGCTGATTGAGGATGTGATTTTTCTGAGAGATCCCTATCATTTTTTTTATTTCTCCTCATCCTGTATGTGTAATGCATCAGATCATGACTCTTCCAGGAATTGTGTGCCCACAAACATGGGCTTTTTGCTCCCATGGTTAAGTCAAATTTATCACACACAGAAGAACCTCAGATCAAGGAATATCAGCACTAAATAGAAGGAGCTGGCTTTGCAAAGCAAGGTTATCTGTTGTTTCAAGTGCTAAACTAGAAGATAAGAGCACTTTTTCAGCTGACTTTTTAGTAAACTAGGTAGTTTATTAAAGCTACAAGAAGAATTCCAAAAGAGAATAAAATACGAATAAACAGGCACACCAAGAAATTCAAAGTTATTCCCCAGAAGGTCCTTTAAAGCACACTGTTGCTTCCAGCTTCACAACAGGCTGGTGTTTTAGTAGATCTATACAAGAACCCAGAGGGATTTAGCAGTGATAAAGATACTTTGCTAGGAAAAGGCTAAGAATAGGAAAGTATCCCTGTTTATTATTACTGTTTTGACTTTTGCTGTTTTTTATCAGGTTTAACTGTCTAAAATGTGGCCGCACAGGTGAAGTGAAAGATGCAAGATACAGATACAGATTGTCCCTCAAAGTTGCTGACACGAATGATTTGTTTGACATCACTGTGTTTGGAAGCTGCTTAGATCCGTTCTTTGGGGTCACAGCAGACAATTTGCAGAGGTAAGAAATGGATTCTTAGCTACTTAATTATGTAGGTGCTTCTCCCTCCTCCTCCTGGTCTAAAAAAGAAAAAAAGAGAGATGCACTTGGATGGTGAGGAAAGAAGTGGGAAGAAGCTGTTAAAATTGTCCCCTCCAGAATTACCTTTTTCACCCTCACCTTGAGAAAAGGCTTAAGGATTTCAGTCATGTCCATATCCCTATGCCCTGAAATTTAAGAAGAAATCTGTGAAGGAATTTGTTGATTTGATCTGTTTTGAACATTCTTACGTCAGGCCTTCTACATTAGACCGCTGTGATAATGTTAACTGTGATAAACAGCTATTTGTATGGAAGCTGTACAAAACTCACAACCACACAGAGAACCCTGAAAATGATGTTTAAAAAAAACTGAAAATTCACAATGTTTTTATTTATTTCTCCTTCAGTAACAAATTAAATGAACTAGACAATGTATAGGTTCATTCCTCGCCTAGTTTTCATTCCCTGTTTAGTTCAGCCTAACACAGGGACTTTTCTGTACCATATATCCTACTTATATTAGATCTGAAATGCTATTCAAGGCTTCTTCTGTTGATGCAAATGTTTCTGTGTGCTTTTATTCAAGGTATATTCAAGACTTGAATCAGCTGTCAGGAGAAACAAACAGAGATACATCTCCAGGAGTGTTAGTTCAAGCAGTTGAAACCTGTTTCATTGGAAAAAGATTTATATTTGGAGTGAAGGTAACTTTTAAGTAATATTACTCTTTTTAAAACAATTTTCTTCATTATTTTGCAGCCCAATGGGACATAGACTGAATTAGCAAACCAGCATGTACAGTATCTTTTCAGAATTTCAGCACGCAGAGGAGAAAACCTAGGGCTGGAACTTAAGAATTCTGTTTCTTCAAGCACCCTGCAGCATTTTCATGCTTCTGGATTTAAGAAAGTGTTTTAAAACGTCGATAAGTTACAGCTGTTCAGCATAAGCATCTGTGGCTCTCTTATGTATTTGACAGACTAGAAAATATTAAGAACGAATACTCTAATAGAAACTGTTTTCTAAGTTCCATTCAAGTGAGGCTTGTGTGAGTCACTCATGTTATGGGGTCTGCGACTTAATCCCATCTGTCACAGGATTTTGCTCTCCAACAGGTACCACAAGGTTTGTGTGTGACATGAGGTTCTTCCTAATGCACAATGCCTAAAAAATAGGAGATGGAAAGCCCTGTAGGTTAACCTGATTTAACCAGAATCATTCATTAGCTCTCAGATACAAATAATCCCTCTGCACATCAGCATCCTGGCTGCTGTTCATGCATGCACAAAGACTGAACACCCATTTAAAGAGCATTTGCACAGCCTGTGGGTGCAGATGTATCTGAACAATTGCATGAATCAATGCACACAATTGCTTATGTGAAAAGATAAAGGTTAGAGCTTATTTCCCTTTCATGGAGGTAGTGCATAGGAAATATCCTGGCTGATGGCTGAGCTGCCAAGTCAGGGATCTGGAACCAAAATGCTTCAAGTACTGCCTGGTGCTTTCTACGATTATATTAAGGAAAAATAAAAAGACATTAGGCAGTTGCATTGAACACCACTGGAGGAAGCCCCGGAGTTCTCAGTGCCCTAACGGGGCGAAGAACAACATTTCCATCGAGTCCTTTCTTCAAATGCTTGGTTGTTTTTCCCCAGGTCCAAAAATCTCTGCATCACTGCAGCAAGCAGAGCACCTCTTGCTGTGATGTCCTTTATAGCCCTGCCAGTGCTTATTTCACAGAGTACTGGTCTGTGACAGAGAGTTTTCTCTTCCCTGCAAAACCTGGAAAAAAGTGAGACCTAAATTTAGCTTAACTCGAACATGGTGCCTTAGTCCTTTTCCTTTTTTTTTTTTTTTTTTTTTTTTTTTTTTATTTTAAAAATTTTGC